TGGCATGAACCGCCAGGATGTAGGCGATCTTAATTAGCCAGGATCAGACTAAAAATAGGGAACTGCTACGTCTGGGCTAGAATTGCCCAGTCCTCACGTTTCAGGCTTGACACAGTTCGAAAAACATATATGTGGCCTTGTGGGTGATGAATTATTATGATGAAATGTTGCAAACCTTTCGCTAATCTATCGGTATTTCCATGGTAATGACGAGATATATTCATTAGTTACACCTATTTAGATATTCACAGCTAAAACGTTCGTTACTGAGCACTCCAGGAACAAACTTTTAGACAAATGTTGAGTATGTTCAGGTCTTTTATATATATATATATATATATATATATATATATATATATATATATATATATATATATATATATATATATATTTTAGTATACGTTATTTTTATAGATACCAATATTTAAGTAAATCTTCTGTTTACAATAAACAGTATTTGCTACATTTGTATCAATAAAAATAACGTATAAACCGAAAATATATTAAAATAATTGTCGAACTTAGTCCATTTCATAATATATGATGTCATTTGTTTATGTTATGATATGCTTCGAGCAGATATAAACGTCCGAGGAAAATCATGGGAAATTTGCAGTTTAAAAACATTAATTTAACCTTGCTAACCAGATGCTTTCTCTGTAGCTAAATGTTATAGCACGTCAGGTTATATGACGGTTCCATGTTAAGTACAGGTTCGATTCTTGTCGAAGAACATATGTTTTTTAAGATTTCTCGGACATCCATGCCGGTTAATACTGTTTATTATAAATGGAGCATTTACTTAAATATCTGTATGTATAAAAATAACGTATAAACACACACACACACACACACACACACACATATATATATATATATATATATATATATATATATATATATATATATCGAGCACTGTTTTTTAAAAAATAAAAAATTCTAAAGGACTTCGGATTATTTACCTAACGGTTCTTTCCTATTTTTCTATATATTTGGACACACACACACACACACACACACACACACACACACACACACACACAAAACACAAACAAACAAACAAACAAACAAAAAAAAACAACACCTACACCTGACTGATGTCAAATCATGCGGGTTTCAATCCCGGCTTGAAGTAATCCAATGTCTAGGCACACTGAGGAGCTGTGATACACCGAAACAGTCTGTCTGTGGATGACTATATATATATATATATATATATATATATTATTATAATTATTTAAAAAATATGATTTCATCGCTACATAAGAGCTCTCATGTTTCAAAAATAGAAGCTAAAAAACCAGCCCTATTTCATAAATTCGCGTGAGGATGAAATAGAGCTGTTTTTTTAAGCTTTTGTTTTTGAAACATGAGAACTCTGATGTAGCGATGGAATCATATTTTTTAAAAAAAATTGTAATCTTAAGTCCTACTTATGTATTGAACACTGTTTTTTATTTTAAAAATAAAAACAAAAATACTAAAGACCTTTGGATTATTTACCTAACGGTTCTTTCCTATTTTTCTATATATTTGCGCGCGCGCGCACTCACACACACACGCACACACACGCACACACACGCACGCACAAACCCACGCACGCACGCACAAACACACGCACGCACAAACACACGCATGCACGCACGCACGCACGCACGCATACACATACGCTCGCGCACACACACACACACACACAAACACACACGCACGCACAAACCCACGCACGCACGCACAAACACACGCACGCACAAACACACGTATGCACGCACGCACGCACGCATACACATACGCCGCACACACACACACACACACAAACACACACGCACAAACCCACGCACGCACGCACAAACACACGCACGCACAAACACACGCATGCACGCACGCACGCATACACATACGCTCGCACACACACACACACACACACACAAACACACACGCACGCACGCACACACACACACACGCTCGCACACACACGCACACACACACACAGATATATATATATATATATATATATATATATATATATATATATACCAGATTCGTGGACTATAGGGAGAGTGAGGTACATTTTTGATTACCTACAAATATTTTCCAGTTGTCACCAACGCGTCTTTTCCTCTGTTTGTCACTGAGCACCCCGGAAACACACTTTGCAGAAATGTTGCGCATGTTCCGGTCTTCATGAATAATTCTGGGTACCGTTGCTACACCAGCTCATTGCTTATTGTCTTTAGAGTCACATGTCGATCATCATCCAGAAAATCGCGAATTATCTCAAACAGCGCTGATGTTCTGATGTCCACATTTTCTCCCTCCCACATCACTCATCGTCTCTCACATCCTCTCCGCCGTCCATGAACCTCTCGTGTCAACATGAATCAGATGCTCAGCTCATACAAATTAATCCATAAGCAGACTGGAGCATTTCATACGTTTCTGTAGCATTTTTTAAACTCTTTAGCACAGAATTTTATTGCATAACAAGCTTTTAAATTGTCTTCACGTCCTAACTGCATTCTGCCTGCTTGTCCGTTGTGACAAGTAGTATCTAGTAGTGTTTGTTCAAAGAGCTTTTCGAAACCGTTTTTTTTTTCAATCTAGAATAACATAAGTTAGCAGGACAACTTATTAGATGTATAGAAATTATATAACAAAACTAAAATAATTTGTGCAAGTTATAATTGCCTCTTCCCAAAATGTCTCAAAACCTCTTGAATGCTCCTCGTAACTGTCTGGGAAGTGTGGTATAGAAATCCAAAAGTACTAGAAAGCTATTAGTAAAAGGAAAGATGTCTTTCAGAAACTAGACAAAGTAAAAAGAAAGAAGAAAATTTCGTTAGAAAGAAAGAAAAGAGTGATGAACTTCTATGTAATATCAATCCTCCAATATGGCAGTGAATGCTGGACAATCTCCTCATGTCTTCCAAAAGCTAAACAAAGTATTAAGAAACAGGAAGATTTCGTTAGAAAGGAAGAAAAGAGTGATGAACTTCTATGTAATATCAATCCTCCTATATGGCAGTGACTGCTGGACAATCTCCTAATGTCTTCCAAAAGCTAAACAAAGTATTAAGAAACAGGAAGATTTCGTTAGAAAGAAAGAAAAGAGTGATGAACGTCTATGTAATATCAATCCTCCTATATGGCAGTGAATGCTGGACAATCTCCTCATGTCTTCTAAAAGCTAAACAAAGTATTAAGAAACAGGAAGTTTTCGTTAGAAAGAAAGAAAAGAGTGATGAACTTCTATGTAATATAAATCCTCCTATATGGCAGTGAATGCTGGACAATCTCCTCATGTGTTTCAAAAGCTAAACAAAGTATTAAGAAACAGGAAGATTTCGTTAGAAAGAAAGAAAAGAGTGATGAACTTCTATGTAATATCAATCCTCCTATATGGCAGAGAATGCTGGACAATCTCCTCATGTCTTCCAAAAGCTAAACAAAGTATTAAGAAACAGGAAGATTTCGTTAGAAAGAAAGAAAAGAGTGATGAACTTCTATGTAATATCAATCCTCCTATATGGCAGTGAATGCTGGACAATCTCCTCATGTCTTCCAAAAGCTAAACAAAGTATTAAGAAACAAGAATATTTCGTTAGAAACAAAGAAAAGAGTGATGAACTTCTATGTTATATCAATCCTCCTAAATGGCAATGGATGATAGACAATCTCCTCACAGATGAAAACGGGGCTTGAGGCAACAAAGATGTGGTTCTATAGAAGGATGCTGAGAATACCAGTAACGGAACATGGGAGCCACGAATAAGTTTTAAGGAAAATGATGACAAAAATGAGATTTATTATTACCATTAGGAGACTGCTGAAATTTCTTGGACGCATAATGAAGAAAGTGGGCTTCGAGAATTTGACACTCACATTATTTTATTGATGGCAAGATGTGCAAAGGAAAGCAGTAAATACGCTACATTTTTCTTTTTTTAATCAGTTCACCCCAAGCAAAGCGAAATTTCACTCAGAAGCAAGGAGCTACTGGAATGTGCCAGAGAACGAAAAGGATTTAGAAGAATTGGAGACAATGGATAAACCTCTACTCCTGTTCAAAAAACCGAGGAGGTGCGTGAACCGGGTGAAGAAGTTCGTGAAAATGGATGGTAGAGTAATGACTGGGATAGAGACAAATATTACAGAGAGCTACAAATGAAGTCGTGGAGAACCATGACCGCCAACATCCTGAATATAACAAGTATCCAAAATATCTGAGATGAGGTTAATATTTCATTATTCGGACTATTATCCTCATCATCCATATTTATTACAACGTTTCAGCCTTTCAGTATTGGGTCTGAGATGAGGTATTATGTACACTATTTACATTATTCGGACTATTGTCCTCATCTTTGTTGCCATATTTATTACAATGCTTCTGCCGTTGTACGCTCCGGCCTTCTTCAGGTGGTTGGAATGTCGAACTGAACCCTTTATTTCTCTCACTGGGGTAAACTGTTCTAGTTCCCCGCGCCATGTTTTAATGGATGTCAGTTATCAGTTATCTCCTGTTAATTTCTCTCTCCAAGTTCTCCACTGCATTAACCAGGTATTGAACTCACACTCTTTGAGTCCTGTTACTGGATCTAACCAACGCCTTTATCCACTATGCCATGTGTCCTTGAGGAATAAGGTAAATAGTGTCGTTAATATCGTTAAACATGTAAGTAATTATCTTAAGTCACCCATAAACCAGTTGACATCTTTGTGGAATGACAATTCTGATTTACTTTTAAGAAAATAATGCAAATGCAACATATTTTCTAGATAACTGAATAAGTTATTAATCATAAAAATTCCCAGTTAAAAGTTACCACGTTCCAAGAACTCTGTTTTGCCATCTTGCGGATTGCTTTTTATCTTGTAGTCATTTGTTATTGAGAGAAAATAATTTCTTTTCCACAAACCAAATACGAGAAAAGCAATCAAATGCGTAAAAAAATATTTGGAAAACACAAGTTTTAATTTAGTATCTGTGCGAATATATGACTTCAGAATAAAAAGCTGGAAGATGGCAGAAAGGGAAGGAAAATGGCCGACAAAGAAGGAAAAAATATTAGAGACGGGGAAAGTGCAGACAGAGGGGGGGGGTTGGAAAGAGCAGACAGAAGGGGGGGATGGCAGTGAGGGGGGGGGAATGGCAGTGAGAGGGATAAAATGATAGACAGACAGGGAACATTGGCAGAGAAGGAAAAATTGACTTACAGAAAGGCAAAATAGCAGCAAGAAGGAAAACTTTACAGAGAGGGAAAATGTTTAGACAGACAGAAAAAAATTAATAAAATTAAGATGAGCAAAATACGCCGAACGAAAAAGAAATTGTTGGACGCTTTTGACAAAAACGATTGTTTCTTTGTTTGATTATAACCTCTTTCATGCATCGTTTCTTTTCAAGACGCGGACAATCATGGCTCTCCACAACTTCCTATCCTTTGTAGTTCTAAACAGTGTCTGTTCTCTTGCTATCACTTTCAGATTCTGTTCGGCCATTCATTTACACAAGATCATCAGTTAAGCTTTTTTTTTTTTTTAAGCATTACGCCCCGAACAAGGCGTGAAGCCACTAGGATGCAGGGGGTTGCAGAAGATTTGGAGCAAGAGCAGATAGGAGTGATAGAAGAAAGGATGAGGAGAGGGATAGTGGGTAGATCAATGCAACTGGAGATGTCGATTGACATTACATTTGAATAGTTGTTGATCATAGCTCTCAGGGAAACAGTAATTGGGGAGGGTGTTCCACAGGCGATGTTTCATTTTCAATGCCTCTTACCTTCAATATTCTCTGTGAATGTCAAATTTTCCAAGTTCTCTTTCTTCATTATGCATACCAGAAAATTCAACTGTTTTGTGCTGATTGAAATTGCAAATATTCTTTTCGTTTCCCTTAAAAGTTACTTGTTGATCACATTAGCCGGCTATGGCATCCTCATCATCCTTCTGTAGAATCACATTCATGTTGTTTCCAGTCTTCTATTCATCTCTGACTCGGGACGGTAGGTTACAATCTATGGGCAAATAGTTAACCCCTAAAATGGGATTAAGCCGCCATTAAAGTCTAAGGATAGATTTTTATAATGAAAAAACACGGAATACATTTTTTTTAAAAGAATATATTTTAGAAGAAAACAAATTTACGACCAATACATTTGATTCTCGACAAAAATCCTCTTGGCAAAAATACGTCAATGAAACATGATTTCTCACAAAGAAGATATATTTTATTCATACGAACCTATCCTAAAAATCTTGTCGGCATTAAATAACCTATTGAGGTTGATATGCCGTAAAATAAAATAGACCTAAACTCTGATCTACAAAGTGATTCCTTACAAAGAATACATATTCTAAAGAATACATATTCTATTCATACGAACCTATCCTAAAAATCTTGTCGGCATTAAATAACCCATTGAGGTTGATATGTCGTAAAACAAAATAAATCAAGCCAAACGTAATACACCGATAGAAATAAAACGAAAGATGATTGTTGTATTATCTGCAACAGGGGCCAGTAGAAAGCGCAGAGAGGCTCAACGTAAAAGTCAGTATATAGTCACGAGGTACTTGAGAATTTCAGATGAAAAATATTTTCTTCATTTCTGTTGATAAGTACGGACGTCACAGCTTTACAGTGTGATTTCTTTAATCGTTTTGCTTCAGGCCGGGCGCTAAAAGCCATTGAAACGCAAGAGAAGCCATTGAATGTGTAAGAAACTGAGAGGACTATAATAGAACGGAGAGACAGAAGCCGGAATAAATTCCCACACGCGAGAAGTGCGCAGAAAAGAAACGACGTTCGTCGAATTTACGAGGTACCAAAATGGAAATCTCATCAGAACTATTATCGTTGAAATATTTCTAGGAAAACGAACAAATAAAGTACGTTACGACAGTGGGAAAGGAGCTGAATCCGAGATGCCAGGTCAGAACCAATAACATTGTAGATTTCTTCTTTGGATTTTCTCAAGGATGTCAAGATATATAGCAGAAGCACCAAATCAAATACGGCAGATATATTCGATGCAGGGACGAACGATAGGCTCATGAATGTACAAAAGTGGTTCTAGCGAGAATATTTTTTTAGCACGACATATTGAATCAACTTTCCTGACAGCAAATGTTCAACTTTATATCAGTGGAAAACATGGTACTGAGAAGGCATAGACAGGTGCTCTCTTAGGGTTTAGCATTATGATGTTGTAAGTTAAAAAAAAAAGTTTAGTTTTGGAGGCGTTAAAATTAAGAAGCATTTTCTTGCACCACTTAACAACTGATTGAAGGTCATTTTCGAAAACGGCTGCCAATGAGATTCTATTGAAACCATTGGTCTTACTATAAAGTCAGTTGGATGTCGATCCTGGTGACATACTGGGAATTCCGAATTGAACACGTTATTTAATCTACGGGGGTAGAATGTTCTCGTTTCACTGACCATGTCTAGGGATATCTCATCTAGTTCTTATTTTTAGTCTTGAGTTATTGCTCTCCCTGATCTTGTCCAAGGACACACTGACCCTGACCCAAGGATTGAACCTGCAATTACTAACCAATTGTGAACCCTTTATTTAATCTACGTGGTTAGACTGTTCTCATTCCACTGACCAAAGGGATATCTCATCTAGTTCTTTTTTTTAGTCCTGCTCAGTTATTATTCCCTCCTTGAAATATTTTGTCCAAGGACAACTGACCGAAGTACGTGAACCTTTTATTTAATTACTATGTCACCAATTCCGAAATGAGGTTTATTTAATCTATAAGACTGTAGATTTCATTCCACTGACCATGAGGGATTTCTCATCTAGTTCGAGTCCTATATCCCTGATTCCAACTTGTCCAAGGACACACTGCGACCCAAGGATTGAACTCACAATTATTATGTCACCAATTCCGAAATGAACCCTTTATTTAATCTACGTGGTTAGACTGTTTCGTTCCACTGCCCATGTCTAGGGATGTCTCGTCAAGTTCTTATTTTTAGTTGAGTTATTCCTCGCCCGACATATTGTCCAAATACACACTGCCCGACAGGGATTGAACCACAATTACTATGTAAACAAATGAAATGAACTTTATTTAATCTAGTGGTTAGACTGTTCTCGTTCCACTGCCCATGTCAAGGGATATTCCATCTAGTTCTTAGGTTCTCTCTTATTGCTCTCCCTGTTTCCCACTCTTGTTTATACATTGCCTGACCCAGGATTGTACAATTATGTCACCAATTCTGAAATGAACCCTTTATTTAATCTACGGTTAGGTTCATTCCACTGACCATGTCTAGGATATCTCATCTAGTTCTTATTTTAGTCCTGCTCAGTTATTGCCTCCCTGTTTCCACACTTGTCCAAGGACACACTGATTGACCCAAGGATTGAACTCACAATTACTATGTCACCAATTCCGAAATGAACCTTTATTTAATCTACGTGGTTAGACTGTTTCGTTCCACTGCCATGTCAGGGGATATCGTCTAGTTCTTATTTTTAGTCCTGATCAGTTATTGCTCCCTGTTTCCACTTTGTCCGTCACACTGCCTGACCCAGGGATTGAACAATTACTATCACCAATTCCGAAATGAACCCTTTATTTAATCTACGTGGTTAGACTGTTCTCGTTCCACTGCCCATGTCTAGGGATATCTCATCTAGTTCTTATTTTTAGTCCTGCTCAGTTATTGCTCTCCCTGTTTCCACACTTGTCCAAGGACACACTGACCGACCCAAGGATTGAACTCGCAATTACTATGTCACCAATTCCGAAATGAACCCTTTATTTAATCTACGTGGTTAGACTGTTCTCATTCCACTGACCATGTCTAGGGATATCTCATCTAGTTCTTTTTTTTAGTCCTGCTCAGTTATTGCTCTCCCTGTTTCCACACTTGTCCAAGGACACACTGACCGACCCAAGGATTGAACTCGCAATTACTATGTCACCAATTCCGAAATGAACCCTTTATTTAATCTACGTGGTTAGACTGTTCTCATTCCACTGACCATGTCTAGGGATATCTCATCTAGTTCTTATTTTTAGTCCTGCTCAGTTATTGCTCTCCCTGTTTCCACACTTGTCCAAGGACACACTGACCGACCCAAGGATTGAACTCGCAATTACTATGTCACCAATACCGAAATGAAAATCATCGTGGTTAGATTCCACTGACCATGTCTAGAGATTTAATCTAGTTCTTTTTTAGTCCTGTCAGTTATTCCTCCTGTTTCCACCTTGTCTGACCGACCCAAGGATTGAACTGCAATTCTATGTCACCAATTCCGAAATGAACCCTTTATTTAATCTAGTGGTTAGACTGTTTTCATTCCACTGACCATGTCTAGGGATATCTCATCTAGTTCTTATTTTTAGTTCTGCTCAGTTAGCCTCCCTGTTTCCACACTTGTCCAAGGATTGACCCAAGGATTGAACTCACAATTACTATGTCACCAATTGAAATGAACCTTTATTTAATCTACGTGGTTAGACTGTTCTCATTCCACTGACCATGTCTAGGGATATCTCATCTAGTTCTTTTTTTAGTCCTGCTCAGTTATTGCTCTCCCTGTTTCCACACTTGTCCAAGGACACACTGACCGACCCAAGGATTGAACTCACAATTACTATGTCACCAATTCCAAATGAACCCTTTATTTAATCTACGTGGTTAGACTGTTCTCATTCCACTGACCATGTCTAGGGATATCTCATCTAGTTCTCATTTTTAGTCCTGCTCAGTTATTGCTCTCCCTGATTCCACACTTGTCCAAGGACACACTGACCGACCCAAGGATTGAACTCACAATTATTATGTCACCAATTCCGAAATGAACCCTTTATTTAATCTACGTGGTTAGACTGTTCTCGTTCCACTGCCCATGTCTAGGGATGTCTCGTCAAGTTCTTATTTTTAGTCCTGATCAGTTCTTGTTTCGCCCTGTTTGTCCAAAACACACACTGCCTGACCCAGGGATTGAAACTCAATTACTTTCACCAATTCGAAATGAACCCTCTTGTCCAAGGATATCTCGTCTAGTTCTTATTTTAGTCCCCAGTTATTGCCCGACCCAGGGACCCAAGGATTGAACTCACCAATTCCAAAATGAACCCTTTATTTAATCTATGTCCACTGCCCATGTCCAGGGAATCTTGAACATTTTTTAAATTTGCCCTATTTCCTTCGCCCATTCCAGGATTGAACTCACAATTACTATGTCACCACTCCGAAATGAAAAAAAGTGTCAGCAATGTCTAAAACATTGAACTCACATTACTATGTTTTTATAAAGATACGTTTCAATTGTTTCCACTTTTGTTTGCCCGAAATTCATTTTTCAAACGTAAAAAATCAGCAAAAAAATGACATTCTTTTAAAGATACTTGCAAATTCAAACGTAGAAAAAAAACTTTTCGATACTTGTATTTTCGTAAATTTAATGTCAACAAATAAAAACCTAAAATCATATTCATTCTCTGAAACTCACATTCCTTTTATAAAGATACTTGTCAGTAAATAATAAAAAAATATCCAAAAAATTACGTCCCGTTTGTAAAGAGACGTTTCAGCAAAGAAGATAACATAAAATTATTTTTACAGACGACTCGTCTTATCAAATTAAAGACGATAATAAAAGTCATACCCACGAAGTTGATATATATATATATATATATATATATATATATATGTATATTCTTACATATTTCATTCAATAATATAGACATGTGTTGTCTATTTATTTTATGTAAATTCTTTTCATAACGTCTGAGAAGCTTAATAACATTATCGTTGAACGAAGAAAGAAATTCACAGTATTGATACATATTTTTTTAATCCAATCTAAGCTTTCGGCTCAAAAAAACAACTTGGTTTGCCTCTTGTAAACTGATTGATTGCCACTTTCGTTACTGTAGGAAGTGACGTCACTAAGCGGCGGTCACGTGACCCATATAAATTCATCTCTACCAAATGGAATATAATCGCCTTTTGTATCCCTACAAAGTCAATAACTGTAATGAGAGAGAGAGAGAGAGAGAGAGAGAGAGAGAGAGAATTCCAAGTGACTAAGAGACGGATTTGTTAAAGTAAAGTTTGTGATCAATGGCAAATTGGATTTTAGTTCCTCTTGAAAACTGGTTGCCCGCGATTAGGCGGAAACACATGGTGGTCCAGGCGATTTGCATATTAAAATTCGGAGGCGGTGCCTAAAGATGGTTTAGCTCCGCCTCTCTCTATATAAGCTGCCCGCACGCTTGAGTTAGATGAGTTCGGAGTTCGGAGATCCGAACGCGTAAGAGGCGGCTTGTTGGAATTTGCTGGTCTGGTCTGTTGGTTGCCCTGTGCCAAGAAGACCAATCCGAACCAAGACATCGAAATAGAGCCCGTACGAATCCAGATAACTTCGTCAACAAGGCTGCAAGAAGGCAGACTGCTATATCGTAGGGTGCAGACGAAGATCCACGAATTATATCCCTTAGATCAGCCGAAATTGTTTAGGCAGAAATTTTCCTACTCTCTCTCTGACTTTCCGACCCAAACGAATGAATCTCGTTACGACATTTTGTACTCGTGTAAATTCTTCGGTAGAGACATAAAAAAAACAGTGGCCTAAATAGGGTCCTTTGTACAGGAACAGGAGTTGCTTTTTTTTCCATTTTCATGTGTTTGCAGCTACGACAAGAAACCTTTGCTGCATGAATAGTGATTTCCTTTCAGCGAAATACCCAACCATTTTCTCCCCTTCCCACCGGATCGTTCTGGGGAGATTGATACACTGCTATTCGGATCAAGAATTCACAACGTGTTGAATAGTGGTGGTTCATTCAGTTCACCGGAGGAAGATCGGGTGGATTTCTTTTTCGGCCAGAACCACCGGGGAGACAGGACAGAACTGCAACAGGCAGGGTTATTACGTTAGAGTTATAGTCCTGGGTTTATTTTGCTATTTCAGATTCTGTTTGTTTGGGTTCCTCAAACAACATTTATACGGAAAGCACTTGTTCCATTGATCGCCTGAATATAAACGTACTACTCGATTGGCAAGTAGGTCTCACCGTTTTACTGTTGAAATAGCAAGATGTAACTGTAGGTTCTATTCTAATAGTTCCTTGTCTTACTCGTTTTACTCTTTTCGCTTACGGAACTCACTTCCAGCTTCTTGCTTTCCTATTGCCTAGGATCATAGACTGGCGCTACAGAATCTCAAATAAAAACTGTGCTAAATAGCTGAAACCACATCACATGAAAACATTCAACAACATAGACATGTGGATTGAATAGCACTTGTAACTTGAAGAGAAAATCAAGACACAATGAAGATCTCGACGCTCCACACAACTTCAAATGAAAGGCTAAGAAAGAAACGCCTGTCAATACTTGAAAGAGCGATAACTATTAGTGGACTTGAGGAAGCAATTTTCCTGAAATTTTATTTTATTAGAATTGTTTTATAAATTTCAGAGTAGCACTGGTTGCTCGGTCAACAAATGCCGATTTTTCTCCTTATAAGGCAAAGGCTAATATTACCATTAGAGATGAGGAGAACAGATACTACACTTTGATCCCAGTTCGATGTCCAGGGAGTGAAGAAAAGCATAACTCAAGTAGCATTGGCTGCTCGGTCAATGAATGTCGAACGTTTCCTTATAAGGGAACGGCTTATATAACCATTAGAGATGAGGAGAACAGATACTACACTTTGATCCGAGCCAAATGTCGAGGGATTGAAGAAAAGCGTAACTCAAGCAGCATTGGCTGCTCAGTCAATGAATGCCGAATGTTTCCTTATAAGGGAACGGCTAATATAACCATTAGATATGAGGAGAACAGATACTACACTCTGATCCTAGCCCAATGTCCAGGGATTGAAGAAAAGCGTAACTCAAGTAGCATTGGATGCTCAGCCAATGAATGCCGAATTTTTCCTTATAAGGGAACGGCTAATATTACTATTACCATGAGAAATGAGGAGAACAGATACTACACTTTGATCCTAGTCCGAAATCTAGGGTGTAAAGAAAAGGGTAGCTCCAGTAGCATTCGCTGCTCGATCAATGAATGTCGAAGGGAACAGCTTAATACTACTATTACCATTATATCAATAGCGACGCATTTTAATAAAGGTTTTTGTTTCTGTTTGAATTTGTGTTCAGTTTACGGCATTCTTTTACAAACTTATTTTCATGGATTTTATAAACTTCCATAAATTGACACTTTTTGTATTCAGCGTTACATGATCTTCCCAAAATAGTCTGTTCTATTTCTCATCTCTTTAAATTATTCAACATTCAATAGATTATCAGATCATCATCAAAATTATATAATTACTCTTCTTTCTTTGTCAATATCAATACTCTTAATCAACTCATCCTTCTTCATTTGCTTTATTTGAATAATAATAATAATAATCTGCATATTTATTGATATTTATTTATCATCAGATTAATTACGATAGGCCTCTTCATCAATCTGTCTGTGGTGGTAAGCTGAGCAGGTTTACATTGCGTTCATTTTAACGATTCTTTCATTTTGTTGAAACGGAAATGGATGCCCGGTCCCGGCCAATGAAAAAACACGTTTTTGCAAAGGTTCTTGGTATTTCGTTTAAAATGGACGATTACATTTTTTTTTCTCCCCAATTCCAACACTTGGGGATTTTGAGAAATTTTTATCTGAAGATCTTAAAGAATAGGAATTAAAATCCGATGTTTGAACAATACAGAGAGCTACAATAAATAAACTTAGTCGGAGCCAGAAACTTCACTAATCGCAATGAACGGATGTCGCCTCAGGGAGGGCCTGTGCCTTGAGCGCCTGTTTAAACTTGTTGTTGAGTAGTTTTCACAGTGGAGGCTTGTATTTCACTAAGTCTGTCCTAAAAGTGACCGACGTACAAAACGTTAGGAACTTGCAATAAGCGTAAATGACGCAGCAATCTAGTTGTGATGGTTGATACTTCAATGTCCGACATCGACTGACTCACTCAACACCACTGAGCTCAGCTGGCGACCGCTACTGCTACTACTACTTATTATGTGTGGGAGAGTCTATTAATAATAGAATAGGTACGTTCAGGTATAACAAAACTTAAACTCAGCCCAGATCTAAAGTTTGACTCGTACATAAATCGCTAAAGTTTCTGTAAAAATCGCCGGTTCTCTGTGCCTCTCTAGTAAGTACTTGACTTCTCCTGTTGACCTTTATAAAAGCCAGACGAGGCTGAAAATTGAGTACAGCTGCCAGAATTAGGCAGAAGATGTCTAGTTTTAACTTTCCACTATCGATAGAGTACAAAAGCGTCACCGTGTCCTTGTGGGTGACAAATTGTTTTTCACCTCAACAAACTTCTCACAGATGAAACCTAGCAAGTCGCTCACCGCTTTTTCCATGGAACGTGTTCATGCTAACTAAAGTCCTTAGTTTCACCAATCCTGATCTTTACGATCAAGACCCACCATACCACGCCCATTGTACCGAACCACCCTCATCCCTCCGTATTCCACTGGTGAGATGTAAGTTACACTCGAGCAGCTTCTTCCCACGAATCACGTTTTGTGGAACAGACTCCCAAGAGGTTGCTTCCCGATCAATACAATCTTAATCTGTTCGGATCAAAGGTTAACAGTTATTTTCGACACATATCCACACAAGCTGTGCTTCTTTCTCTGTACCGCACTCCTTCGACTGGATTTCGTACTCGGTGAATATCATTCTATATATATATATATATATATATATATATATATATATATATATATGAAGAAGAAGAAGAGAGCGTACAACGGCCGAAAATTGTAATAAATATGACGACAAAGATGAGGACAATAGTCCGAATAATGTAAATAATGTACATAATACCTCATCTCAGAAATATAGCCAGATACTGAAGAATGCCGGAGCGTACAACGGCCGAAACGTTGCAATAAATATGACGACAAAGATGAGGACAATAGTCCGAATAATGTAAATAGTGTAGTCAATTTGTTGTACGTTGATCTTTCTTTTCCGTACAAACCTTTTTATTTCATGGCTGACTTTCGCAATTAATTTTGATTATTCCCAAATTTATTTCCAAGTTATAAAAATTGTTATCGCACAAAATTTCGTCGCATTAAATCACATAAAAAAATTGCCGAAAACAATCGGAATAATGAAAATTTGAGAATCCAAAATTTAAGGGTCGCTTGTCCGGATTCGACCCGGAATGTTTTTAATTTGCTCATGGAGTCGGCCTGATTTCAGAATGGTATGATACGTTGGGCTACGGCTTGAAAAGGTTGATACAGTGACACACTGACATTCACAATTATTATATACATATATCTTTGTGTGTGTGTATGTGTGTGTGTGTGTGTGTGTGTGTGTGTGTGTGTGAGGGAGAGAGAGAGAGAGAGAGAGAGAGGAGAGAGGGAGAGAGAGAGGGAGGGAGAGAGAGAGAGGGAGGGAGGGAGAGAGGAGGGAGAGAGAGGAGAGAGGGGAGAGAGGGAGAGAGAGAGGGAGGAGAGAGGGGGAGGAGAGAGGGAGAGAGAGAGGGGGGAGAGAGAGAGAGAGAGAGAGAGAGAGAGGGAGAATGCACATGATGCATGCAAATCTGACATTTGATACATCTCAAGATTAACATGATCCTAGATTAAGATATGCATGCAAATGTCTCATATTAAATCATCAAATACAGACAGCATAGATTCTGGAAGCTTTAACTTGTCTTTTTAAGATTCAAGGGTGGGTTTGGAGAAGGTGATTAAAATTTCTTTCTTTTTATGTGCCGTGTCCTTTCAGGACGTAGGCGATCATGGCTCGCCACTTCCTCCTTTCCCTTGTAGTTCTCAATAAGTTTCGTCCCTCTGCCATCTCCCTCAGACCACGTTCTGTCAACCACTTGCATAAGGTTTGTCATGCGTAGCTTTTCCTTGTTTCTCATTTCCCTCTATTCGACCTGTGAGTATTCAAGCCCTCCATTCTCATTACTTGTCCCAGAATCTTCAGCTGCCTCTTCCTGATGATAAGTATAAGACTCCTCCTTGTTTGCATCCTCACGAAGACCTCATCGTTGCTCCATGATATCCGTAACATAACTCTCAGGACATGGAACCTTCTAATATTGAATAATTGCGGCCAGTCAGATGTGAAACAAGAGATGAGCAGGCTTAAAATCAACCTTCTAGATGTATGTGAAAGCAGATGGCCAAACAACGGATTAAAATTATCGAAATGTTACAAAGAATGAGAAAACACGAAATCGGTGAGGAGCTTGGAATATAAAGGCTTGAGGTCCATGTCATCAGAAGAAACATATTGATTTGGTGATCAATTTGTATATAAGAACAACAGGAAAATCTTCAAATTTAGGCAATATGGATGAAAGAGATCTAATGAGATTATCGCTTACAACGGCTGATTCGTATAACCGACACCCAAGAGGTTGCCCCCCCCCAATAACTAAATTCTTAACTTTTCAAGTATAGGGGTTTAACTGTTATCTTCCCGAACTATGCACATAAGCAGTACCCCTTCATCTGTAACCCTGTACCTGGCGTGTCCCCCGGGGCCTTATTCAGGGTGACACTCTCTCTATATATATATATATATATATATATATATATATATATATATATATATATATATATATATATAATTAAGAATTCATCAAGTCTAGAAGAAACTTCAATTAAATATTTCTTAAATGCAATTGTATGCCTTCAACTATTTATTTCTTGAATGCAAGTGTATGCCTTCAATTAAATATTTCTGGAATGCAATTATATGCCCTCAATTAAATATATTTTCAATGCAATTGTATGCCTTCAACTAAATATTTCTTGAATTGTAATTGTATGCCTTCGACTAAATATTTCTTGAATTGTAATTGTATCTCTTCAAATAAATATTTCTTGAATACAAGTGTATGCCTTCAACTAAATATTTCTTGAATGCAATTGCATGCCCTCAATTAAATATGTCTTGAATGCACTTATATGCCCTCAATTAAATATATTTTCAATGCCATTGTATGCCTTCAACTAAATATTTCTTGAATTGTAATTGTATCCCTTCAAATAAATATTTTTTGAATACAAATGTATGCCTTCAGCTAAATATATTTTGAACGCAATTGTTTTACTTCAACGAAATATATCTTAAATGCATTTCTATACTTTCAACTACAGATAAAATGTTATTGTTTGTCATTTAAACTATAATAGGTATTTTTGACCCATTTTATATAAAAATGTATTGCTGTTATTTTAACTATAAAAATGTATTTTTATACATTCAAAGTTCTGTTTTTGTTTGACGGGGGAAATATTTACCCATAGCTTAGAGCCTAACAGGTACTGCTACCTCGGATCAGGGTGAACCTGTGAACAACAGCAAATTAGAGATGGTTCTAGTTCCCCAAAACCTCTCGATCTTGCTGCTGGATGTAGTTTATCGTCATACCCAGGTCGCATGTTTAAAGTAATTGGATAGAAGAGAATTTTATCAGTAAATTGCTTTTCTGTTGTACATGGCGTGCTATGAGTAATGTCGAATGTCATTTCTTTGAATAAATTATTGTTGGGTTAGACATTGGTTTTTCCTTTTCAAGCTCACATACTTTCACATCAGAGATTATTGCATACAATTTGAACGGCCAAAAATAGTTTTTATATATTCAATTATAGACACATGGCGCAACACAAATCTTGTTGGTCGTATTTATGCGTTCCCGACGAAAAGAAATACACGAATAATATTTACATTGGACCTGCAACTGCAGGCCTGTCAAGAAGCCTTACTTTGCATCTCTCGGACTGTAGCTTCATTAGGTTGCAATTTAAATACATCAGGAGACCTACCAAACTCTGTCCGCAACATATTTGTGGAAAATGGGAACATAATAAATTCATTCAAACACAAAAACGGATAAAATTAATGGAAGCATTAATAATATAAATAGAATAATAAGGTCATTTATGAACACGGCCGCAACGTTCTGACCGTGTTCGGAAATTAAAAACATTCCCATCCATATATATATATATATATATATATATATATATATATATATATATAAAATGAACATTGCAGTCAACATTTAGAGACAACAGGCTGTTTCATGAACACTGTGGCCTGACGATAGCGTCTAGCATGAAACAGCCTGTTGCCTCTAAGTGTTGACTGCAACGTTCATTTATATATTTACACACGCTCTATCTCTGATATTGAGCACTTTATCCCATAAATATAGCACATCTTAAGACTATATTTCTTCATATATATATATATATATATATATATATATATATATATATATATATAGCAGGCCACTCGTATTCGAGGATATCTGTCTATTAGTGTGGCTAGTCAATCCCTATTGCAGACGCTTGCTCAGGCGCATTTGTGTTTATTCAACACCCACAGAGCCCACCTGTGGTTTATACTGCAACTATGCTGGGAAGACCTTAGTTACAGTTTCTGGGAAATATAGTGTTATCTAGGGTGATCATCAATTTGAACAAGGCCTGCAAACTCTAGCCCTCGGCCACAATGACTTGTGACTTCGTGCTAGCACATCTATCGACGGCCCCCAAGGCTTCCGTCTACCCAATTTCATTCACATGGCTTGGGTCTTTCCAAAGATGCTGCACGCTGGGATCGACCCCTCCAGCCCGATAACATCAGGCAGTCTCCTTACTGACAAATCTACCATGGTGAGGTACCAACCGGGTCTCAAAATGCGAACGTTCTAACCACTTGTCCACGTAATATATATATATATATATATATATATATATATATATATATATATATATATATATATATATATATATATATATATATATATATATATATATATATATATATATATATATATATATATATATATATATATATATATATATATATATATAATGAATCATATATTAATAATAATATATAATGAATCATATATTAATAATAAATATATATTTAAATATGCACGGTGGACTAATGGATAGCGGCTCGGATTGAGGAATCGGAGAATCGAGTTCGAATTCCAGTCGAATCCATTACATTCACTTACGTACTAATACCCTTGGGAAAGGTGTGAATCTTCTTCTCCCTCCAGCTATGGTTAAATAGCAGGACAGACTGGGTTCTGTAGCCATTGATGGCAGCTTGTTTAGGAAAAGGACAACTCTGAATTCAAAACCTGCGGAGGGTCGTTTGGGGACCTTGTGGCACGTAGTGCAGCAGGATAGATTCGTATGAATAGAATATGTATTCTTTGGTTTATTTTGTTTTACGGCATATCAACCTCAATGGGTTATTTAATGCCGACAACATTTTTAGGATAGATTCGTATGAATAGAATATGTATTCTTTGCTTTAGATTGGTTTGGTTTATTTTATTTTACGGCATATCAACCTCAATGGGTTATTTAATGCCGACAACATTTTTAGGATAGATTCGTATGAATAGAATATGTATTCTTTGCTTTAGATTGGTTTGGTTTATTTTATTTTACGGCATATCAACCTCAATGGGTTACTTAATGCCGACAATATTTTTATTGCTGATAATATTTTGTTTTGTCAAAATTCTATTTTTAATATTTTCCTTATTGCTGGTAATAATTTCTTTTTTCTAAAAAAGTATTTATGGTAATACTTTTTTCCTCAAAAATGTATAGCTGGTAACATTTTTTTCAAAAATTTATTGCTGGTAAGTTTTTTTCTTCAAAAAATTCTTGCTGGTAAAAATTTTTTACAAAGTATTTCTGGTATTAAAACCTATTTTTACACTTTCATATTGTTTTTACCCCAGTTTCAGGGTTAACTATTTCCCCCATAGCTGGGACCCTAACAGGTACTACCACCCCGGGTCAGTGTGGACCTGGGAACACTAGCAATTAAGAGGTGGTTCCACGCTCCTCTAAACCTCCTGATCAGAGGCCTTGCTGTTGGATGTAGTTTATCATCTTGCCCAGGACGCGGATGTAATTTATTGTCAAAACCCAGGACGGGCCTACGTGTCGAAAAATTATTTTCTGCAATATTAAACTAAAAGTAATTAATATTTGTTTCAAATCAGATTAATGAAATTTTAAACCAGCTAATATTCTTCAAATAAAGTTTCGGTTTAAGTTTTAGTCTTGAAATATTTTTTTTAATAAAGAGAATTATGTTGTGTTGACAAATTTGACAATATAGACAACTCTAGCGATTAAAAAAAACCCCAAAAAACATTCCAATGAATTTAAATTGGTTTTGAAATACAACAAAGTATTTTGTTTATTGGAAATATTACATTTAATGTATTAGATTGGAATTACAACTAAAATAAAAGCTTTAAAGATTTTTAATTTTAAATGCATTTTAAACCATGGTTACTGCCTTTTTTTAGAGGTAACTAATGTTAATATAACTTAATTTATACTAATATATATATAATAATTATATACAAAGCATATATATATATATATATATATATATATATTTTATATATATATGGTGCGTCTAAATGCCGCAAATATGAAAATAATACAAACATATCATTTTAACAGTTATATTCACCAAAATTCCACAGAAATATCTTCAAATATTAAAGAGTAGATTTCTTCAATAAAATCGT